AAGCCAGCTGATGCCTGCTCTTGGCTTTGCTACCCATGAGCTTAGAAGGATTTTTAAGATGCCCTGGCCTTCGTTGTCAAATAAGCCGAGGTCCATCGCCATGCTTGGGTTAAAATGCCCCCAAACCATCCTTATTTTTAACCCCTGGGAGACAAAAGGATGCTGAAGCTGGTGTTTTAGTAGCAACAATGACTTAACTATTCCCCAATTACTGCACATAACCAGCTTTTCCTTTCCATTTCCCCTTTTGACCACAACGCTCTGATGTCTGATCATTTTTTCTATATAATTTTCTCTATCTGGAGTCCCGTTTGCCCACCTTATTTGGCTGAAAATGCCCAAACTGCACCGTCTGTGAGATCACACTTCTTAATGGATCATGGGCGTAAGTTTTAAGGACAAGAACCCAAAAAGCTGGACTCAGCATGAGTGCTATGTAATTTAGATTATTTTTTTATTATTATTATTATTTTTTAATGTTAAGTATTAAGAGATTTATAATAGGGTTGAGGAACATACAGGAATTAAAAATAGTCCCCGTTCTTAATGGGCTACAGGTTGCTTTCAGAACAAAACCTCAGGGACGGGCAAAACACGGCTTCCTGCTGTGAACGAGGATAGGGTGGTGTAAGAATTTAATTCTTAATTCTTTATTCCTAAAATAGATGGAAGAAGGCATCTGTGATACGGATCTCCCTTACTGCTTCGGGGTTTTTGCTGTGATTACCCAGAAGGAAATGAGGTCACGTTGCCGTGATGCAACAGCATTGAGTGAGCAGATAACGGGAAGACTTATCGCTCCCCCAGCACAATGATTTGGGGGCAGTTCATTGAAAACTTCTCCTTATCTTCCCCTTTTCAGCCTGGAGGCAGGGCGAGGCAGGGGCAGGGCTAATTTTGGTCTCTTACCTCCACCCAGGCAAGGAAATGCTTCGCCTTCACCATCAGCCGCCGGCTTCCCGGCTGCTCGGGAAGCTGGGTTGGGGTCTGAAAAGGGTTTGGGGTTTGGTGCCCTCGTATAAAAACACAAATCCCTTTAGGCAGCTGCCAGAGGTGATTCGGAAAGCCCAGGCACTTAGAGCCCAGGTGATTTAGAGGTGTTGTGTGAAGCAGGGAGGCTCTGTGGTCTTCTGAAGATCCAGATTTTGGTGCCTGGCGGGTTCAAGTCTCTAAATTTAGTGGATTTAGTTGACCGTGTGAGTACCGACTGTAAAAATATCGTCCAAAGCTCCAGCACATCTTCGCAGTTTCGCCGTGAGACAATCATGAATTTTTAGCAGGAATATTTGGGAAATAGAGGTGGGATGGGAGACCTGCGTTGGTGCCCTAGCACGACGTTGATCTGTGTTGGGGCACGGGTCAAATCCAACACGTTTTTGAGGGGGATTTCGGAAGGAATGAATATTTTAAAATAAAAATACACGGTATTTTAGCTTCTCCCCCATCTACTCCCAGAAACTGAGGGGCTCTGATAATATTTCTGGTGTGTGTTTTAGCACTGAAGTGTTGGTTTTTAAAGGAAGGAGACTTGTAGGTGTTGAAGTTGCATGAATGAACAAGATACGCTCGACACGCTGTCATTTCTACATAATTCATTGCGTGTCATCTGTGCTTAAAAACAACAGCCAAAAGGCAGCCAAATGCACTAACAATACTTGAAATAGCTTTATTCAAATCTTTGTTTTTGACAAAGTCTTTGTAGTAGCTGGAATGATGAAAGCCAGAGCATCTGCCAAGTTCCTAAAAGGTTTAATGCAATCTCTTGAAATAAAAAAACCTCAAACTGAGAAATTTTGGTACTAGCAAAATTGTTTTCAAAGTGTCTTATATTGGTGCTTTATGCTGAAACCAGAAAAAAATTTCTCTCCCCATTATTTTATTCCATTGATCTGAATTAGCAGTACAGGATTTATTCTAAAATACTATTTAATTTGGTTTTGTATTCATTACCTGTGTTTACAGTTTCAGTTTTTCCCAGTCCTAATTTCAACCATTATCTGCTTGGACTCAGGTGGAGAAGTAATTTTGCACCTTTCGTACAATTCCACTGAAATTACAGCACAAAAAACATTTCTGTCTTTTCATTGAAAATTGTAATTCTGTGTTACTTAACTTCGCATTATCTTGGTTCTGATGCGAAACGCCTTTAAAGAAATTACTAATTTCCTTTTTTGGTTGGAAAAAAAAACTCTTCCACGGATTTTTTTTTTTTCGGGCTGATTTTAATACAGTGAGTGATTTAGCATTCAGCTGAGATTCAGCGGGAGAACAAAAGCCATTGTAGTGTAACAACGCGGGAGGGTTCGGAGGCTTTTTTGCAGTTTCCTCTTGGAGTTGTGTGATCAGCAAGCCTGAACAGACGATTTATTTCAATCCTCAGCGGCGATGCGTGGTGGTTTGGGTCAGCCTGCCTGCACGTAAACGAGGCTCAGGCTGGGTACTACGAAATCCCACGGGGATGTTCATTTGCATTGTGTAGCTCAGCAAAGTCAAACCTTTTGTTTTAGCATGACAATATCCAGCTTGATGTAAGAATTACCGTTTTATTAGGAGGATGGGTAAATGATCACTGAAAGCAATTTGTAACCAACCAGCTCTCTAATCCACTACCTGATGGGGTTGTCATCTTCCCCTACAACCACGTTTGCATATCCTGGGTGTTTTTAGCACTTACTTTTTTTTTTTTTTGCCTTACTTGGCCGACAAAAGTGACCGCGTTGTGTTGCATCGACTTCAATAACTCCGATTCTGGCGGCTCTCCTCGGTATTTAAGAACTTCATCATATTGAAACGGCTTTTAATTAATGGAAGGAGGGCTGTGATGCAGTTTTCCCATGCTGACAGATTTGTGTGCTCGCTAAAATTCAGCCACGCTTCTCCGTTGCCTTCCTTATGTACCCTCTACATCACTTTTGGGGAATATTCCGGCGTTTTAGCCCAAAACTTCAGGGTGGTTGCAAGAGGTGTGGGTAAAAACGAAGTTAATGTTTTGTGTCCTTTTATATTTCTAGACCTGCAGAGCACAGCTGGGGATCATAAAGCGAATTCCTAAGGAGCTGTAGGTAGCAGTCACAGGGAATAAACAGGAGCTGAGATGGGATTCACCTCCCCAAGGTAGACGTGTAAATCCAAACCTGGGTGCTGTGTGAGGTCAGTGCAGGGGAAGAGGCACTTATCATGCAGTATTTCCTCTGCCCTATATCAGCCATCAACCTTAGAATAAAAGAAATCACACCAACCTCTCTCCAGTGGCTGCAGAAAGGACCCGGAGTAACAAACTCGAATCCAGACCCCTGCATCGGGGCAGGCTGCAGCTAAATGCCACGAATCCCTCCTGCTGGGTCCGACATAAAAAGAACATATGGGCTCGATATGAGAGCTGGGGGGAGCTCTGAAATAGTTCCTTGTTTGGATTGTGAACCACTGTTTATAGCAGACTGGAATAAAAATCGCAGCTGCTTTGCAAACTGAGCATTTATAACTGCCTTGCCAACGTGCAACTATTTACATTTATTAGTCGAGTCGCAATCCAGCCCGCTGTTTGATCCGAAAAGCTTTGGGAACAGATACGTGGGATCATAAAAGCCTGCAGGTTCCGTTTGGGGGGGATTTTAGGATTGCCACCATCAGAGCACGACCATCCTCAGCGACTTTACACATCATTTATAGTCTCCAAAAGTGCAAGGCAGCTTTTGGGACCACGCGTACTTGATACGAAAATAAACGCCCTTGAAATGGGAGAATAACTTTGGTGTTTGCAGAAGTAAGACACGGAAGGTTTAACGTCATAAAAAAAGGTTTAACATCATAAAAACATGCAAGGTGTCAAAATCCTGGGCCTTACAGCTGCTGTGCTGCAAGAGAAGTCTTCCAGGAGAGCTGTGCATGTAGGCAATACCTGAGGCTGTGTGTGTATCTCGTTGTCTGCTTTTCATGGATTTGTGCTTGTGAATTTCCTTGATCTTTTTGTCTCGTGACTGTTCTGGCTGTGAACTAATTTTACATAACTCATTTTAAAAGAAATTTTAAAAAATAGCCATGCTTCAGAGCGTATTTAGTGGCATATAGGTAGTGCTGCCATCACCTGTGAGAGCCTGGAGGCCAAGATGCTGCCTGGTGCTGGTAGCGAAATCCTCGTGTTCCTGCTGGCCTGGCAGTGCCCCCAGGCTGGTTTGTTTTCCTACAGCCCTCATTTCGCAGGAGGGGATTTGTTTGGGATGAGAGGTGGGTTTAATGCTGACGGTGGGAGCTACAACTCAGCCTGGGCTAGGAGGTGCTGAGCTTCACCCTCAGTAGCAGATTTTGAGCAGATTCAGAGCAGATTTTGTCCATTTTTACGTCCCTTAGCCTCATCTTAAAATGTGGGTTTGATTTTGTAGGGACAGAAACTATTTCTTAAGGTTTTCACAACTTCACCTTATTTTTTCCACCTTGACTTCCAAATGATTTAAATAACCAAATGTGACTTTATTTAGAAATGCACCCTTGAATCAGTTGAAATCGGGTCCATTCCATGACCTTATATGACTTTAATTCTGACTTTAATGATGACTTTAAGCGACATCTGTGACACTTGAGTGAAATTATTGGCTTCTTGCTAAGCAGCACATGCTTGTAGAGAACCTACACTGAACTTTTTGCATAACCTCGGCCACGCGATGGGATTTTACAGCTCTTGCTACAGCAGGGCTTTAGAGTTTGAGCCTTGATGTTGCCCTCAGGTAATTATTAAGCTCGTGATAAATTTTTGCCTGTGCACTTGATGCTCCTCTGTGAAGGTGTGCAGTGGCAGGTATTGATTAGCACTCTGTGGTGCCATCTGATGGCAATAATGCCCTGCCATGAAACGTGTCCACCCAGTCACCTTCCCAGTCTGCTCCAGTAAGCCTAGATGGACGTGTTTTAAAAAGGTTTTCAATGGGCATCTTGCAAAGTATATCAATAAATCATCTTCTGAACTACAGTGCTGCTTTTCTTTAATGCTTCCCCTCTTCCTACAGGCCCTTGATGGAAACGTGTACGATCACCTTAAGGATTATTTAATGGCATTCAGCAGGACTGAACTCGAGGCGTGCCAAGCTGTACAAAACACATTCCAGTTTTTACTGGAGACTTCCAGCAGGGTAAGTTTTAACCGAATGATTCTTTGTAACCGAATACTTCGAGCATACGTAGGGTCCCGGGCTTAAGATTTCTTTCCAAAATAATGACAGAACTGACGGGTTATTATTTTTGGTTACTCCGGAGCGGTATTAAGTTAAAAGAAACGAGACAGTTTTCTTGGGGAGAGTTTTGCCTGCTGCCACCCAGACTGTGTTCTCATGAGTGCACTTACACGGCAAACGATCTTTGGAGAACAGCAACCGAGAGATGTCTAATTACCCTCCCTCTGCATGTTTTAGAAGAGAAATTGCAGCTGAGGGTCTGTGTGATCTGGAACAGCATTAGTCATCCGTCACAGCGAAGCTGTACCAAACTGTTTGGATCATTTTTTAATAGTTGTTTGTCAACTCAAACCCAAAATATTACGCCGTTCTCTCCGCTGAATGGAGAACTACAGAAAGCAGATTAGAGCCTTGTCATACACGTGGTTTGTTTGCTTTGTCGAGCAGCCCGAGTCTGAAATATGCCATCGCTTCCAGGATCATTTTGATACTTAAATAATTCATGTGCTGGGCTAAAAAAAAAAAATAAAATAAAATGCCATTGAGCTCCAACGAGCTGCCTTGGTGCAGTCATAATATTCCTTTGTACCTAGCCCTTAAGCACCTGCACGGAGACAGAGCCCATTATGCAGAGACTTTGGGAAAACCAACATGTTTAACACCTTCCTTGCTCACCTGCAAGCAGGCTAACGTGCAGCTTATTAGGTGTAATGCGAGTGGATTAAAAACTGGCTTCGTTCTAGGGAGTCTTTGAATTTACTTGGCAGTGAGGACAGGGAAAATGCTTTTATTTTCTCTTGGAAAAGGACCTTGCAGTGCATCATCCGGGTCGGCTTAAAATACCTTCCCCCAAAATGCTGTTTTGAGTCTTTTAACCAATTCTGCAATACCTACGTACTCACAGCTTGTTTCTCAGTGTTGTGTTAAAAGCTTGGTGACCAGCACTGTGATCCAGCTGAACTGTCACATCCACGTGGCTCCTTGGCACAGGAAAACCTTTGTCACGCTGAGCTTGTGACAATCGTGTTAGCAAGCCCCCGAGCAGCCACAGCCTGCAGGTCTGCCTTCCTGGGCACAGCAACAACTCCGTGGTGTAAACTTGAGCAAAATTCTTCTGTTTCTGCTTTACTAGGTTAGTACAATGCCCGGAGAAGGAACGTAAACGTAAATACAGCTGTCAGGTCTCGACAGGATTTTTACAACTGCTCATCGGCCCCAATTTTCTTCTCTCCTTGCTGTTCAAGAATGCAGGGAGGAAAAGTTTGTACTGCGTTAGCACTTGCTCTGAAATACTAAACACATTCATCAGGGCTTATCCCACAGGCACATGCTTTTCCTCACCCTTTCTTCTGAACCTTCAGCATTTCTGGTGGGTCTGTGTTGCAGGAACCAGCTCAAAAAAGGAGAGGTGAATCCAGACGAGGAGCTTAGCAAAAGAGTTTTTATGCGTGTGTCTTAAAGGCTGCCTGAGTGGTAAAAGTCCAACAAATTTGTTAGTGATGCAGTCATTTGGAGGAAAAGCCAGCCTGCCATCTGAGCGAAGATTTTAAATATTTATTGGGTTTTTCAGTGCTTCACCTGTTTTCTGTTAGTTTTAAATACCAGATCACTGCCAAGCTGCGTTTAGAAAATATCACTGATGGGAAAGCTTCTGCTGTTCCTCGCCATCTGAGGTGTGTTTCTGTGTGCTGGATGGAGGGCAGGACGAGCTGCTTCCCTGGAGCAAACGCAGAGCAGCTGCTGGTGGTCCATGGCAGGAAAACACTGCAGAAACAAGCTTTTTGTACAAAACGAAGCTCTGGCACAATTTATCTTGGTGCTGTTAGCTGCAGATTTGGAGGTTTTGTTACTGGGAGGTTGGGGTGACCCAAGCTTTCTGACACTGAGCAAATGAAAAAGCAATTCAAGTTCCTTTTCAGCCGAACAGTCTTGCTCAAGATTTGCACTTCTTGCACTTCTCCTTTGGGAAAATTTGCTTTTCTAAAGACTGCTTTCTTAAAGCTCCACTCGCTGGTTTAAGTAACAAAATTTCAAGAAACTTCTCCAGCCTAGGGCAGATCGTTTCATGTATGCCTGTGTCTGACTACGTGCTATTCCTGCACATGGTATATATTCACCATTTGATTTCAAATCTATTTAAAAATGCCAACAGACATTGGCTTCGTAAAGAAACTCCATGAGAACACTGAATTAATTTCCGAAGAACAAGAAATCCCTTTGGAAAAATTGCCACTAGGTCCTGAGAATATCATATTGCTTAGAAGTCTTTTTTATTTTAACAATTATCGGATTTATGGTATTTGACAATTATTATAATTAATAATGAACACTCATGCTTAGTCATTATTATAGAATAATGCTCCAGGTTTTTAGTCTGCAGGGCGTGCACACAGCAGGTCTGATGTCGTGGTGGCACAGTTGTCCTCAGGCACAAAAATCTGCACTAAATCTAAAGGGTGTATAGAGTGAATTTATCACGGACTGCTTGGCTAGGTGCAGTTCTGCCTTTTTTGAGGCCTTTTAATAGAAAATAAAGAAGAATTGGATCTGTCCACATCCCTCAAGCCCTCAGTTACGGAGGGCTGGCTGCCTTGCACAGCAAAAAGGTTTTGTGTTGGAGGATCTGGTGCAACCTGCTGCTGAAAAGTGTGCCCTGCAAATAGGGCTGTCAGGGGGTAGCGTCCTGTACCACATTCTAGCGATCCCATAATCAGTGCTCGGCATCTTCGGACGCTGCAGATGGTTCCTCCTTCAGTGCTTTAGGAATTTCTGGGTTTGGTGATCCCTAACACAGGCTCCCTGTTCGCCTTCTCTGTCCACCTCTGTGCATCTCAATGCGTTTACGTTAAACTACTCCAATTGGAACAGCAATTATGTAGTTTACTGTTTTAAATTAGTGCATTATTGGCCCTGGAGGACTATTTACTTTTCTTTCTTTAACTCAGGATTAATTCCTTGCAGTTCTGTATTGCAAGCATCAACATTTTAATACATTGGAGATGTCCCATTTACCAGCTTACAACAATTTCACTCTGTGTTCTTGGCCATGTGCAACGCTGCTGACACTTATGGATAAATGCCATCTTTATTAGAGACTTCGGTACATTTAAAGCCTCAGTTTGGTTCTACGTTTCTATAATTTGCTGCTGTTTGTGCACAGTCATCAGCGGAAGCACTGAATACTCCGTAGTGTTGTTAAATTAGCGATGCTCTCTGTCATCCTGCAGTCACTGAGATTTTCTTTGTAAATATGTGCAACTTGTGATGTAGCTGATTTGTTTAGGGATGCGTGCCCTGCTGTGTGAAATATGTCATTAAACAAATTCAGTGGCCGAAGTAACTTTGGTTTAGAAAAATGCAAATTACTAAAGTTTTGTCTGAAAGTAATTTAATACGGAGAGATTAATTTTGTAACTGATTTTGTGTGCGTTATTCCAAATAGTCTTTTCAGCTCCTGCAAGTAATAATTTGTGTAAAGATAAGACATTTCAGTTTAAGAAAGAGCTGCCTACAAGAAATTACCTACAAGAGGAGAGCAAAATATTTATGGTAGGGATACGACATGGCTCTCTGCGTGGTAGTTGGCTTTTTTTCCCCCGTTTTGCCTTTGTGACATTTTTCGTTGGGTCATGGCAGAAATGTTTTAGGTCTCTGTCTCCCGGTGTGTGTCCTACCAGTCGCTTCTGAATTCCTGTGGCTAGTACTGCCCAGAGCCAGGTTTTGTATTTCCTTCTGTTGTGCTCAAGGTTTTGCTGCAGATTTGGTCTCTTGTTTGAAAGTGTACTGAGTTTACTCTAGCAGCATTTGTTGCATGCTTTTAGGATTGTAAAATAACCAACCTAAACGGCCTGTGTTATTTTCTAGGTGGTGCGGGACTACAATCTACAGCTGTTTTTACAGGAGAACTCAGTGTTTCACAAACCCCAGCCCTTCCAGTTCCAACCAAGTGACAGCGACACTGTAAGAACACCGCTGAATTCCTTCATTTATTTCTTCTTGCTCTGTTTTTAAGAAAGTTGTTATAAATGGGTGAGAGAAAGCGCTCACTGGTGGAGCAGTCTGTTTTAACCTCATGCTGTATTTTGGAATAAAAACCCTGATTCCCCCAGCCCTGCTTGCGGTAGGTGGGTAACGATCAGACAGGCTCAGTGGCATCCACAGAAAAGCTGAATCTTTTTTGTTTCCAGATTGTGGCTAGCAGTCCTGTGTTTCTCTGCTTTCATCGTGATACTTCCTATATTCTGCTAGCTTTTTGTTGCGTGGGTGAGATTCTCAAAACGTTTTCTAATGCTGGGTTACAAATAGTGTGATGCTGTGCCAAATACAGTGTCCATGTTCCTCTGATTTACTCAAGGAATATCTATAGATGCATATAAGAAGTTCTTGATTTAGAACACTGTTAAAATATTGCGCTCCAAAAAGTCTCAGAAAATACTATGCTTTGACATACATTGCTTCCAAAGCAATCGTTAATGATATTAAAAGTGAGTAAATCACAGTAGGTAAATACATTTCCAGTCAACACTTTAAAAGAAAGTGAATTGATGTCCCAACGACACCACTAATGTTATTTTAAGCAACAGCCATTTAAAATCTGTCTAGACTAAAGCGAAGTTAACCTTGTGCAGCTTTATATTGCTCAAATTCCTTAATAAACTGACTTGGATGAAAATGTCATGATCTCCAGTATGGGTCACCAAATTGTAGAGTTCACCTAATGGATACGTAGCATTGTAAGCATGATTTTTGCAGAAATATTAACATCTGTAACACCGTTTCCCTTGTTCTTTCCCTTTTAACAAAATGTAAATGATTTTTGGCTGTTCTTCCAGCTCCTTTGTCTGGAGCCCTTATTTACATACAGCGTTAGGTTGTTTGTCATACAGTGAGAAGAATCTTTCTAGCTGTTTGTGCTGCCTTTCTAACCTTTGCTGCTGTGTGTTTTCATCTCTGTGCAATCTCCGCATCTAGAGTTTTAACGCGGTTCAGCTGGTGGACATTGAGCCCTCACCTGTCAGTGCTATGCGAATGACTATAGCAGAGGTATCTGGTAGTATCTGTCATCAGCCTGTGGCATCTGTGTTGTTCCTGGCGTGCATGTGGCTTGGGACGTTCAACTTTGCTCCTGCAGAGGTGGCAACAGAATGCATAATACGTCTGTAAAATGGGGAAAAAAAAGCTTTTTTTTTGCAAGGAGACTTAAGTTAAAGAAGGAGAAAGCGGTGTTATTTATGGGGATCGCATCGCACTTACCTTTTGCACTTGCACAGCATTAGCATTTGATATTCTGATCTTTTGGGGGCATGAATTAAAATTTCACAGCTCGCGACAGCGATGTGTATAATTGGCTGCTTCTCCGGTGCGAGCGGGGAAGCTTGTATAACAACTGGAGGCTGTTAGTTTGCACTGATGAAATGCAGTCCCAGGACTAATTTAATTCTCTTCTTTTTCCAGAGGGCCATCCCCGTGTAAAATAAAACTGTAATTCACTATTGTTTGAGTCCTCGACATGAAAAATTACATGATTCTTTGGCGTGGCACTTGTATGGCCTGACAGTGAACACATGCGCTGCGCGTGCTGCTTGGCTGCAGGATTGTTTTAGAAGACAGCGAATGGGTCGTACATGTCTAAAGCTGTCTCTGTACATCTGGTGCAGTGACTTCTTTACTTGGCTAACCCCCCTGGGCTGTCAAATTACTGTGTTTCTTCATTGCGCTGCATTCTTTGAGCTTCTAGCTGCTATAACCAATTTACACCAAACAGAAAAAAATATATACACACTTCATGATCCAAATAATTATGCTCAGCTAACGGGATCCTGCCTAGAAAATTGCAGGTTACGCTTTTACCACTTCTTATTTAGTCGCTATTCGAGAATGAAAGGCTTTGATCAGGATTTGGCTTTCAAATTTGTCAGAAATTGCATGTTTTGTAACGAATTGAACAAACTGGAATGGAAGATCAATCGACAAGCATTCTTTTGCCACGTGTTCTCTCTGTAGATGACCTGCATAGATTATCAGTTGGTTTTTAGTTTTGTGGGATGTGCATGATAGTTTTCATATTAAGCACTAACAGTGAAGGAAATACGTGTACGGTGGTTTGTACATCTAATCAAACGTTTAATATTTACCTTGTCCAACAACAAATTTTAAAAATCAAACTAAATACCTGATACACTGAGACTGGGGTCCAAATTTGGAATAAATAGGAAGTATTACTGGAATGAAGAAATAACAATTGTGAATATCGTAGGCAAGGAGAGTGTTATAAACAGTTTTGAAATGGAACTCACCTACAGGAAAAGCTGTGAATGCTTTGGCAAATCCCAGTTTTACAGGGTCTATCTTAAAATTTTGTTTTATGGAGGGAGAGCAGTTGACAGACTAACATAGGATGTATTGCCATGCAATCCTTGGGTCAGGTACAAACACCACAGCTCGATTTATTCCCCAAATACTCTCAGCACGTGCAGCCAGAGCCTCCAAAAGAGACTATTTGGGGGAAGGCTTAGGTATGACATAGTTTTCCATCCTACCAGCATGTTCAGGCTTTTGTTCCCCCAGTGTCCCCCTAGCACTGGCTGATGGGTGGACTCTTGAACGTCCACACAGAGAAACCTGCTACAAAATATTTAATGTCATTTAGCTATTTTCCAGCATCTAAAAACTGTTTTGACCTTAGGTTTGTACATTTGTTAATGTTACTAAAATAGTTAAATTATTAAATTATTGTTTCTCAGTTGATTTTCACTGACATAAATTCATTTAAAAAAAAAGATCCCTTAAGGAAGCGGTTTGTTTCAGAAGTATTCAGCAAGAAATAATTGATAAATTCCCAGCCAGCTTTAATCTTCTCAATAAATGAATTCACAAAATGGATTGGGCCTTTGCAAGACGGAAAAAAATAAATAAAGAAAGAAAATAAAGGATCTTCTGAAATACTTTTAGCCTCCCAAGAAGAGATAACAGCACACACTGCCCTGACATGGGGGCTGCTATATTCAACCAAATAACAGTTTAATCATCCGACATCCTCCCCCGAGGAGAGTGATGCTTATTAAATCCACAGAAATGAGTTGCGTTGAAAACACACCATCCCCGTGCTTCAGAGATAAGCATGGCTAGAAGAACAGGGCCAGGCATAAAGGAAATGAGCCAGCTTTTCTATATTTCCTGCTTGGAAAAGATTCTTTTCCTTGAACCGCGTGTTATCAGGTGAGAAAATGGGATAAATGGCAAAAAGGGCGTCCGTAGTGCTGCAGGATAATGGCCACAGAAAGCTGACACCGAGCTTTCGAGGTAGGTCCCTTTCCTGTTTTTTAGCTGCCTGCTGCCCCTGACTGCAGTTTTCCCCGTACATTACTGATGCTGGTATTTTCTTTGAGCACACAAGTAAAAAATGTAGCCAAAAATTACTTGTATGGCTGCTTATCAACATAAAAAATACTTTTTTCTCTGTGTAATGTGCGGAGAAATTACATTATATTATAGTATAGTACAGTATATATTATTAAATTATATATTATTAAATTATATATTATTAAATTATATATTATTTTATCTAAATTATGATACTATTAATTTATATATTTTATTACCTCAGTGAGATGGGTGGAAGGTTTTACAGCCTCACCCCTCGTCTCTTGGATGGAGTGCGAGGTTTACAGCTAGGCGGTGGGAACAAGGCACAATTTCACTTCTCTGCCATACACAGATGGATTTCTTGAATTTCTGAGCAGCCTGGCTTACAAAAGGAGACCGTTCTTGTTCGTGGCAAGGCTGTTTTCTCAGCTCTCGAAGTGTTCAGGGGCTCGAGAGTGACTGGAAATCACTGTGGAAGTGGGAACGAGGAATCAGCCAAGGGCTCTGCTTTGCCAGGCTTTCATTTTAAAGGGGTTCTGCACATTCGTATAGAGGCAGGGAGGACTATTTGTTTCTCTTCTCTGTATTTACACATTTCAGCATTTAATATTAAATATATTTAAATATTTCAAGACCTATTTAGAGCTTATTTAATATTAAATGTATTTAAATATTTTAAACCACCTTATCTTTATAAATAACTACATTTTTTATAATTATTTAGTGTACATATTTGATGTTTGACATCAATATTTCAATATACAAAAAAGTAAATTTGGAATATAAGAAATATAAGCGGACGTTAGCCCATGGGAAGGGGTCCGGAGGATGCGCTCCCATCTCTGCATTGAGAGTGGTCTGGGCTTTAATGCCAGAGCAGAGTAAGGTGATTTCTTTTTAACTCTAACATCTTTGAAGCTAATTAGACAAAAGGAGTGACGATTGAATGTTCCCAACCTAAAGTGTTGGGAGTTGCTGCTGAGGTAAAAATCAGCCATCCAGGCATGGGAGTGTTTGGGTAGGCCCAAAGGAGGCCTGCCAGGCACAGGAGCACTTTGGGCTTGTGAATCCCCCTCAATTTGACTCATGTACACCTCTGGCATGACTGCAGCTGGTCCTTAGAGCCTCCTCAAATTGATTTAAAAAAAGGTTGGAGATTCAGGATTGAGGTCCGAGGTCTGTACTGAAAGGGCACGCTGAAGGAAACGCAAAGCCCACAGCCTGGGGTTACCGGCTGCCTTACCCCACGTTCAATTTTACCCTAGCTTCTGCTTTACTTCAAGTATCATAAACTGAAATTGATTTTATTTTAATGCTTTTTACAGTCAGTAAACACTGAGCAAAGCTCTCAGTAATTGGTGAAAGCGAGAGAAGTGATACCTGAAAGCAGCGGCCACTTAAAGAACAGACCGTTGTTTGTGGAAAATATCTGCGAAATCAATTTCTCTGTGTCAAGGCCAAAGCAAAAGCTCTTTTTTTTTTCCTCCTTTGGTTATTTAATGATAGCAGTTTCTCTGTATTTCTTGTTATAATCGAACATATGATAGGTTTTTGGAAAGGTTAGATGTGGGTACAGCTGATAACTGAGGCAAATCAGAGTAATGTGGGGGTGAGAATGGAAAGGCACCATAGCAAAAGAATATGTTACACCCTAATATCAACATCAATTTCAGTGAAAAGATTAAAACCTTTTAAATGAGATTAAAATTAAAAGTAAAATTTGTAGGTTTCAATCCTTGCTATGTAACAAATGGGCCTAATATGAAACATCGGGCCCTGCAAACAACAAATCCATATCGATCACCGCTAACAAAAACTGCTACTTTTAGATTCTAGTCTTAATAAAAACAAAAAAGCAGATATGGGAATTAAATATTTTGCTATATAAAATGTATTTAAGAAAATGCAGTCATGTTGGGGACGTTTTTCAGCACAGATTATGGCAGAAAGGCCCAGTTCCCTCTTCAGATATCCTGGAGCTACCTTCTGTGATGAGTTGAAATGCAGCAATAGTAGGTTGGGTTGGTTTTTAGCTTTATCATAAAGTATGATAAGAGGTTCATGTAACCTGTGAAAAGGCCCCTTTTTATTCTTGAGTAGAAGAAAAACTATATGGAAATATCCTTAACTTCTAAGGGTGGTGGGTGTCCTGTTTGTAACACTAAAAAATTGAAATCCAAGCCAGTCCTAGCTCACTTTGGGTTAAACTAAAAGGAACTGAGTTTCACTGTAATAGAAGAAATGAGCCCCAAAGTTGACTCACGATTTTCCTTAAACTGCTATGTTTAGCCATCCGTTGTGTGAAAAATGTCATGCATATCCCTTCCTTCTCCCCAGAAGTGCTGATTGTAAGGTTGAGCTTGCAAATTCGCATTGGCATGGTAACCTCTTATTTTCAGCTTTTTGAAAGAAACGGCTGTGATTTTAGGTGTGTTTTGTGTTAGTGGCTTGCATGTAATAAATGTTACTCCTTTTTGCTTTCATTGAAGTGAGCTTTCTTAGTCTTCAGCTAGAAAAATATAGTTTTTAGGCTCAAGAGCTGACTTCTTTTTTTGTTCCTTAAACTGCATGTGCCATCTGCATCCAGATATAATTACATAAAAAATAAATGCAAGCATCGTGTTTGGCGCTGTCGTAGGGCAACTGCTGCACCTGTAACAACATTTCAGACAAAGCTGGAGGCCGACGTGTCTACAGACCAAATGCGTTTGTTAATTTAAGAAACAGCATAGCATGGCTAGCCTCTAAGCTCTTTAGCTGGTCGGAGTCATCTAGCATTTTCTGTTGGTTTACTGATTGAATTTTTAGCACTAAACACTGCTTTCGCTGTAATCTAAGCCCTGAGAGACCAGCAGAAAGCTCGTCTATGTTTAGCTCTTTTTTTTTTTTTGTCTCTTCCTTCGTTCCTTGGCCGTGGTAAGTGGTTTTGTTTTCCCTCACTTTTGGACGAGGTTAAATTCAGTCACTGGACATCTTGCTGCTACCGAGTTCCAGTCTTGAAAGCATGTGAGCAAGCGACTAATTTAAGGCTGTGTAGCAGTCTGGTGATGCTGCAGGAGACTGGTGCAAACACAGCCCTGTGTTCTTGCTGTTTGGACCTGGGTGTCTGAATCCACACCGATCCTATAACACCCTACAATAATTTCTTTTTTAATGTAATTAAACCCCAGATTGTTCTTGTGCTCTGGTCTTACATATTTTGCATCCTGGAGTAATAAATGGACATTGATTTGTTTGTCTTCCACCACATTTCTAGTATGCCCAGTAAATCTGTGCTTTGGGAATCGGGTAGGACAGGTTAATTCAGTTCCATCACCTCTTCCCTACGCTTGCTTTTTATGTCCATAGTAAATAAGTCTCAGTTTTAACTCCTTTCCTCGTGCCTGTTTGAATGGCAGTCAGTTTTGCCTTTATTTGATGTGCTATCTTTAAAGATATTTGCTATCTTTAAAGATATCTGCGCTATCTTTACCTGAGGATGCAGACTTCTCACATCATCCTTGAAGCCCTCCAGAAGCTCGTACTCCTCCATGGCACTCAGCTTGCTCCTGTTTCTTGGCTCAGAAGTTCCTTCACAGCTTCCTGAGGTGCCAGCAGCTTGGTGGTCTTTGTGCAGGTCAGGTGAAGTCCATCCCTGCTTTACCAGCTTCCTTTATTCAGGCAGAGTTCCAGGTCCTGGTGAATTTGAAACCTTTCTCCTTGCACCATCATCCAGCCGAGTATTTAAACTGGGCATTTCCTCTACTCTCCCTCGTCTTGTGCAGGTTGGGAGTCATCTTCTTCCCCAGGAGGCTAAATTTTGCCTCTAGATCTCGTCTCCTGCTTTTCCTTGTATTTCTGATGTTCCACACAGACCACAGCAGGAGCTTTCTTCACAACTCTTTCTATTATTCCATTTTACATTGTTTATATTTAGACCTTTAAGCAAGGGTGAGGTCTGCGTGGATCCAGCACTGCTTTACGAGTAGCTAATAAAACCACTCCGATGCAATAAAAACTCATTTATTTTTTAACAAGCCTTTAGGAATAGCCACAAAGTTTGCGTTTGTTTTTTTTTTTTTTTTTTTTCTGGTCAAATGCTTTTGATAAATAGATTAAAAACCAAAACCACGCTTGGGATTGTGCAGAAGGTTATCGAGCAGTTGCAAAGAAGTCTGTGTCCTTCCTTCATGACAATGAGATGCTGAGCAGGAGCAAGACCAACGGGAACATTGAAGATCCATTAAGAAATCCTTTATAGGGGAGAAGCAATGTCATTTCTGCTCAGACTTGCAGCCTTTAAGACTCAGCTGGAAGGCATGGAAGAAGAGCTCGTACAAAACTGCTGATTCCACTAAGCCTGAAAAAGAAAACACAACTGAGGTCGAATGTTATCTTAAGGATTGGATGTGCCTGTATAAATCCTTGTGTTTGTCCTCTTACGGTTTGCAATTACTTAGTGGAAGGAAATTAGAGCTCAAACAGCAATGCAAAACCCCGATTATATAAAGCCACCTCGATAAAAGCAGCCAAAAGGCAACTTGGTGTTTAAACAGAGAGAGGGTGTGGAGGGAGCTGCACCTGTCTGGTCTTTGCTCAGCACACGGCTTTGCCTTCTTACGTGTTCTTGCTGGAGCTTAGAGCTTCCCTCCTCCTCTTCTGGCTGATCTACACTGTGTCTGGTATTTCCTTTTACTTTGACAATATCATTCACACGAGCTCTATTCACTCCAGCTTGTGAATTTCACGGAAATGTTTGGTTTTGGCTTTGAGCTAACACATCTTGGCATCTTAAGCCTGATTTTAAAAGCCTCCCCCTATTTTTTTTTTATTTGCTATGAGCAGCACAAGGATGCTTCCCCCCTCCACTCCCCTTTTGATGTTGAGCAATGCCTGCCCTAAGGCATTTTGTGGGGACAAGGCAAAGCATTACAAGCTTCTTGGCTAAGTTACAGGTCTGAAATTCATGCAGAAAGTGGCCCAGGAGTCCCCAGGATTGTCATCTCTATTTCAGAGCCCTGAAATTTAGAGGGATGTGTTTCTGTGCGTGGTAGTCCAGGGGTTGTCTTCCTTTCCCTCGCTTGCCCCCACCGCTGGAAATCTCCTTCACAGCCCCTCGAGTCCACAACCCCCGGCTCTCTTGTAATAAGAGGATGAATGAGAATAAAGGCCAGATTTCAATTTTGATGAAAAGTAGCTTAGCTGAACAAAATAATAAGCTGAACCAATTTTTGCCTCATTTTCAATTAAATCCTCTGGTAGCCTGTTAGCATAAGTTAGTGTCACCGACCTCTCTGCAATCCAAAGGCACAAAAATCTTGCTTTCAAAATCCCTGCGGTTTCCTTCCCCATGTCTATTTATTTTCCTCCGATTCCATATATTGCTATTAAAATCGTCTTTCTTCTTTGACCCAAGTCATATCCCTTTCCCTGTGAAAACACCCGATTGCCCCATCTCTTATTTCAGCAGCAGCTGGAGGTTTCTCACCTGTCCTGGAAATAATTCCTCGTTTTTCAGCTCCCTTACCCTCCTCCAGCTGGCTGACCTTGGACATCTCCTTCCAAAACAACTTTTGCCTGTCTGCTGGATCTCAAACCACAATTGATGGATAAAAAGCTCATTTTTTGAACCAAGGAGGGAAGAGAGAGAGAAATTGTGCATACACAACCTCTATTTCTATGGAGCAGCACCACATGCACTCACTCCTTTTGCTACTCTCCTATTGAGTAATATTTCATTAGGAGATTTTTTCAGTTGCTCTCAAAGGTTGTGCAAGATTTTATCAGTCCAAAGAGGACTTGGGATAAAAGGGAATGCGGTGACTGTCTCAGTAGCAAAATGAGCATGAGTAAACAGGTCACCCATGGAAAGGAGTTGAGTTATTTTTTGAGTTATCCTGAACTGAGTTATCCTTACGCAGTCCAGGTGCAGTAAATATGTACAGATCGGTCACAAATACAGAAGGAATATCAGAAAACATACTTCTAAAGGAAAGCTTGAGGCCGATTTACATCCTAAAGGCTGAGATATGCAACACACGGGGTAGTTGCAGTGGCAGTAATGGAAATTATAGAAATATTGGGAGTGATTTCAGTAATTAAATTCTGGAATATGTCTTCGGATTTCCGAAGGGGTTCAGTTCAATCTGTTGAGCGTAGAAATCGACTTCCTCTTCAGTTGGCACTTCTTGAGAGGGAGAAATTATTTCTTTTTTGTTACTGACACACAATAAAAGCAGGCCTGATATGAAAGAGTATCAAAAATGTTGCTGTTGGAGATGGCTGTGCTCTTCTAAGGTACTTGATGGCATTACGATTTGACGACCTGTCACAACGAACGAGCCTAAACGGCCACGTGTATCCCATTTAACCTTCATCTTTGCTTTCCATGGTGCACGTTTAGCCTAGATACGTGGTGATTTCCCTGGCGAGTTGTTTGTCATTTTTTTGATGTGGTTTATTGGTGAAATAGTGTCTCGGTTTTATTCACCAGGAGTGTTTTTTGACTGCAGTGAGACCGTGTCTGGCTCTTGGTGCCACTCGGTGATTTCCCGAGACAGTGAGTTGTGAATTCTTGTCAGCTCTGCTTTTGCAGTTGGCTTTCTGCAGTGTGTTCATAAGCAAAGCTCATAAGGAAGGGAGTTGTTTTTCTTGAATCTTTCTTGTTTTATATGAACCAAGATCCCAGGCTGATAAATGTAAGATAAAGTTACCCTATAACTAAATAGCATCGTATCTCCAGAGGTAGCCCCGGGTCCGTGTCACGACTCCTTTGCTTGTTTTCTGTTGCAGAGTCGACAACTGGAATCGGAAACTGGAACAACCGAAGAGCACAGCCTCAACAAGGAGGCTCGGAAATGGGCTACCCGGGTAGCCCGGGAACACAAAAACATCGTCCACAGTCAGCGGGTACGTTAGGAAAACACTCGTGTACAGGTTTGATTTGTTGCAGCTCCCTACCGCACGAAGGAGGAGCTGCTGCAAGCATCCCCGAGTTATTTACGTGTTGGCTGTCTCTCGAGGCAACCTGCCTTTTTCATCCTGTCCTTCCGTGGTAAAGTATGCTCAGACTGCCAGGTTTGCAGCTCCTCAGCCTGTCTGCTTTGTCAATGTTTTGTTACTCCCGTATAAATCCGAAGTTACAGCTTCTGTTGTGCTGCAGGTAACCCAGGGCGGCATCGTGAGCGCCTCGTTTGGGATTTTAGATGGCTGTATTTTGGAATGCAGCTGGGACTGATGGGGAACGGGAATAAAGTCAGGAGAAAGGCAGTTTGGGTCGCAGAGCTCCTTAAATGCCTGTCACAAGGCTGTCGTGCTGCTGTCTCACCGAAGGGTGAGATGGAAGCATCCTGACTGCCACAATTCGGAGATGAGTGGGGAAGCGGCTGGCTTCTGCCTGAGGAGATGTGACACATTTCACTTGCTAAGGTCAAGACCAACTTGTGTAGACTGCTAATTAGAGGTCACGAGGCTTTACTATAATATTTTATGATATTGTAGAGTGTTTAGCAAGCTTTTGCCCATGGAGTGGATTCGAGCCATTCCTCAAAATTCCCAGAAAAATGCACCAAGCAAGAAGGACAAAACAGGTTTGCCATTTTACCTGTCTTCTACTGAACCTGGGGCACTCCACAGCTAAAAAGCAGAAGTTGTAGCCCCAGGCAGTCTGTAGCCAAAACAGGACAGAAAAAATTCACCTCCGAGGAAGGAGGGAGCGTCCTGGATTCTGGTCCTAGCTCCTGGTGCTCCTGCTTTGTCTCCAGAGACCGTTTAACACAAAGTGCAGTCACTGAACCAGTCACAGATTTGCAGATAACAATTTGTGCAACCACATGCCTTTGCTGTTTTTCATTTGGACCGGTACAGTCAACATCTATGTGCTTAAAGGCAAGAAACTCCAGCGTGTCTTCTGTGATTCAGCAAATTCTCTGCACACAAGGCTCCTGCAAATGCAGCAAACCTGCCTGGGTTTCCACTGCAGCAGGGCTGTAATCCTAATAGCACCTTTCCACTCTGTGTTTCGGATGCCCTCTTAAACCTGGCATAAGCATGGACCAGCACATCCATTTTAAATACGTAAATATCATGGTGTAGATGAGTTGATTCATACCACAATGTCACGTTTTTGTAGAAATATTGAAATGTTCTCCTAAATGGAATTTCCACCTGAAGTACTGTGCTTTTAAATGGTGTTTCGCCGTGGTCGTCATCTTTTTTTTCCTGGAAGGAGCTATCGTCAGCCAACCTGGTCAAACAGCGTTTTCTGTGACTTGTCATAAATATTTATCAGGCAGCATTTCCTACAGCTGGGCTGTATTTTCTTATTTCTGACAGACGCTTGAAGAGCTAGAATGCCACGGGCCTGTGATGTCTGAGCAAACCCGAGCAGAACTGGAGCAGAAAATAGATGAAGCCAGAGAGAGTATTCGCAAGGCTGAGGTAAGGAAGAAATCATTTTGGCATGTTCACCTTCGTACTACAGAATGATTTCTGTTACAGCTATTGAATTTTGTGTGTGCAAGTGTAAGCTCCCAGCATCAAAACCCAGGGAATTTGAAGAGGTCGTGTTTCCTTGATTTCTTACGTCTCAAATCACTGAATCAACTTAATAAAAGACTCAAGATAAAAAGAATCGTATTTAAAAAAACCTCCTGATAAAGGGAGATTAAACTTGCTGTGTTTCCTGCTATTGTGCAAAGGTCACGAATCTCTCTGTTTAGGGGCTTGGTCGTAAGCAGAGAAAAAACAATCTCAGTTTTCCTTCTGCCTGAAAGAACTGATAGCAGAAAATAGTGATCGTATCTAGAAGGAACTACCACGTGCTGATGGGGCTTCTGCTCTGCTGTTACTGGGTATACATATTTGTAATGTTGATGGGAAAACATTTGAAGTGATCTTTGTATCTCCTCTTACTTTTGGAAAGGTTACGGACCTGCTCTGGGTTAGTAGAGCTTCATATCTGACTGTCAAAGTTAGGTTGGTAAAGCTAAACATTTTCTTGGCTGGTGATTCAAAAAAAACTACTGCAAGCAAGAGGAACTAATCTGTTAGTTTTCAGCTGAGTGGGTTGCTTAATTAAAACTGTAGAGCAAACGTAATTATTTCAGTTAAGTACTTCTCATGCCACTAGATGTTCGGAGTACCTGCTGTAATTAGGAATGGGATTTACAGTTCAAGAGGTTAGAAAATATGGAGTGAAGATATTCCTCCCACTGGTATGATAAATGTTAGCCTCTCTTTTTTAAAACAAATCCAGAATATATTCTCTTAACAGAAAATCTTCTAAAATGCCTTTTGTTTTGAGTAACCACTTTCACACAGACTGTACTCCAAAGTACTTCGATGTATATATATAGTTAATGATTGAATACACAAGGACAGGGAGCATGAGAAAGGAAGATAAAACCAGAAAGAAATCAAATCAGGATAAGAAGTTGCAGAGGAGAAGGTTCTTGCACAAAAATAGTATAGATGAGATCAGTTCCGGAAATTAAATGCTTGTGAATTTTAAGAAGCCATAATTAACAGAACCCAATAAATCAGTGGAAAGCAGCTTGGGCCAGTTTTGTTTTGTTTTATTTTGTGTTTTTTTTTCTTTTGAGCAAGATGGCATTTCCTTGGGGGAGGTGGCGGAGAGCAAAAATTGACAGGAGTATTTTGAGTTGTTGAGGTCTTGAAAGTTTGGACTTTGAAAGCAAGTGTTGCAATAGTCGTGGCTAAGAAGGGTCTCAACAGCAGAAATGAGGCCATGGTCCTCGGTGAATGATACAGAGAACATGAAGGCAGGGATAACGTGCCAGTTGTTCTCCATATGGATACAACAGAGAAGAAATTTGAGAGCATTTCAGGACTTTTGCCCAGCAGAAGGTTGGCTTTTTTGAGAGAATTACCGAAAAAGAGACAAATTTGCAAGTTTTCTTGGCCTCAGCCACAGAGCTTGGCCGAGAACAGACGGAAAGTGCCAAGAAATGGAAGGTTTATATTTAAAAAAGAAAAGAGAGGCGAGATCAGAAACAAAGCCAGGCTCATTCTGTAGCAAACAATGGTCTTCTCCAGGAGCGGAGGGATGGAGAGAGCTGGGTTGGGAAGCACGCTGGGCAGGAAGCACGCAGCCAGGAAGGTGATTCATAAAGCAACGAAGAAGGAAAAAAATAGCATGCAATTCTCAGAACTAACAAGAAGCAAATTACAAAGTAATATCTGCACATCCTTCTAAACACCAAACAGCGCTCAGAAGAGGCAGAGATTATGAATATTTTTCTCAGAGCTGTGTTTCACAGTGTTTGGTAGAAGGCTGAGACAGAAAAATGATGCAGTTCTCGGGTTTTCTGGTGCTAGACAGCGAGTTGCAGTTCAAACATCCCTCATCTTCCCACTGTTCAGCATGGTCTGTTTTACCACGCTGTGTTTGCGACCCCTGCATGTTGAGTAAGTTATTTACTACATAGATTTATTTTCTCTTTGCGAAAAGCTACTAAGTGAATTCAGCGAGCTTTCTGACTTTCTAGGGATGGCCCTTTCTTTTAGCTTCAGCCCTTAAGAGTAGCACTACTAAGGTAATTTCAGGACTGTTAATTAGATGAGATTTTTGCCACACCTGCTATCTGCAGAAAAATAAACTTTCTTGAAGAAAAATCATTTTCTTTTGTAATACAATGATAATTCTTTTCCGTGTCTGAAAGCCAAACGTTTGCAGGATTCCTTGCATATTAAAATGGAACGGGTTGATTTGGGATTACTGATGGGTGGGTATGGGAAGGGCGTTTGTGCAAAATTTACAGCCGTGCATTTAGGCTGCAGGGGAGGGCTGGGACGACCTTTTCCCTTTGGGGCAGCAGTGCTCGGATCAAGGAGCTGCTGGCTGGTAAGTAAAGCAAAGCAAGGAGACACCTGAATCAGCTCTGTCCTTCAGGGATCCTGGACAGAATGTCTGGGGAGCTGGCCGGAGCCAACAAGTATTGGAAAGACCCAGCTGAGGAAGGAGGAATTTGCAGCACCTCCGTGTTACTGAGAAAAAGAAGACTTGGAAAATGGAAAAAGGGAAAAAAAAAACTATTCAGGCATTTTTGTGGATGGCAGGTTGATGTATGTCATTCGTAAAACAAGGCAGCATCCCCACAGCATGCAAATCAGGATGTGTCATGTGTTCTGGTACCATGTCTGAAAGCATTTCGTGATAACAGGGGGATTGTATATAAAAAAAAAGAGAAAACAGTTAAAATATATATTGCTGGGGAGGTGTCAGTGCACTTAGCTTGCAGCTGCAACAAGTATTGATTTATGTGGTTGCTGCCGTGTTGATGAAGTCTCAGGCATGGAAAGCTCCCATTTGTTCTAGTTCAGTAAAGCAACCAGAGGACAGCTCATCTAGAAGAAGAAAGGGATTAAAAGGTTGGAATTACACAAGCTGGAGAAAGCTTCCCCACGAGTATGGTTGGATTAACCTCTGGTGGTGTGTTGGAAGTGCACTGAAATTCCTCATTCCAGAAGCATTCTCCCTTCTTCCTTTTTTTTTGTGTGCTTTTTCTCTTGAAATACATTTTCTTTTTCTCTCCTCTCTGAAACACATGCCCCTCAGTCTGTCCCGTTTGGGGATTTTTCTCTGCTCTTTGGTCCTTTTTCCTTAGAAAAAATGCTCTTCCCCTTTCTTTCTCCATCGCTTCGGAAGAGGAAGATAATTTCACAAGCACGTTAGGACTAAATTTTGCCTCTCTTCTGATGAAGCTATTTCGGTCATCGCTGGACGCTTCCACTTGCATGTTTCTCCCCGGGGAATTTGGCATTCTTGCCACATTGCCCCAGTGCCAACCTGCTTAAGCACCCAAAGACCCGTTGACCTCTACGTGCCATCAAACACGACCCGGGCTGAGCCACAGCCTCTCCCAAAACCTTCTTGGAAGCTTTTTCCCCGTGGACATCTGCTAAGCAACCACCTGGAGCTTTGTTCTCTTTATTTTTTTTCCTAAACCAGGCAGAAAGCCATCGGAGAGGCACCCAAAAATGACCTTTGTGTCATCGGGCTGTCCTGCGGGTGCCGTTCATTTCAGAACAGATGTACAGAAAAGTGCACGAGGCCGAGTTCGGAGCTTCCCGTGGTGAACACATATGTGGATATCGGTTGGAAAGGGGAAGATACACGTTGGGAATACGGTTTCTCCAGGATATGTCCTGTGGATAGGTGTATTCATCTCTTTGCCCTCTTCCTCAGAGATCCCAAATCCTTTGAAATCGGATGGTGGAGAGGAACCGAGGAGCTGTGCAGTGCGTATAGCATCTATTTATCGTAAAATCCTACAAAAACACAAGGGTTTGGGTTGGAAGGGACCTTTAAGGTCATCGAATTCCAACCCCTGCCCCCAGCCCAGGCTGCCCCCAGCCCCATCCAGCCTGGCCTTGGGCACTGCCAGGGCTGGGGCACCCCCAGCTCCTCTGGGCAGCCTGGGCCACGGCCTCAGCACCCTCAGCGGGTTATTTCTGCTCTTCCTCTCCCTCTGATAGACGGTGTTTTTTTCCCTGTGGTCTTCAGGGAGCAGGGATCGATCAAAAGTTTGGGAAAAATACGACTTAAACCCGAGTGCTCGTGTACAGTTGATAAATGCTAGCTGCTCTACAATGACCGTAATTGATCACCACAACACATTTTCTTCGTTGCTCTTCCATGTGAAAAGAATTTGGGTTGTTTTCTTAAAGGGCTTAGGGTTTTTTGTTTCGTTTTGTTAAAGGGCTTAGGGTTTTTTGTTTCGTTTCGCTCTCTTCTTTCGAAGGAAAGGTTAGAATCTGGCTGATGATACCTCTGGCGCTGTCTTTAAACCATCAGGGATTAAAAAATAAAATCAAATCCCGTCTCCACGGATCCGTCGAGCAGAAATAAGGGGAAGCAGAAGGCGAAGCTCTTCCCTTGGTCTCCACACCCCTTCCTTTCAGCCTGAATCCTACACCCGGAGGCTGGGGGACTTGAATTACCTCTGCTGCTCACCTCCGTGTCTCTCGCAAACTCAAGCCCCCGACCCTTGGATTGCATCGAGCCGTGGAGTTGGTCTCAGGGCTGAAATACTTTTCCTCTCCTGATGGGAGATTTCCCTCTTGTGCTGAGGTCTGTGCTCTAGGAAGGTCTTGGGGCCTCCACAGCAATTAATCCTATTTCCACTTAATTATACGGGGACGCGTTTTGTCTCATAATTAGGATATCTACAACTCCCAGCGGAGTATTTGTGCCAGATAAGATTTGATTAAGACTCGTTATGGTGCTGTTTACCTCGTTTGATTAGTTCAAAAGCTTAGGTCCATTTCCAGTTGTAAGTAGGGGGCTGTCGTCCCCCTCCCCTTCTCTTTGGCTGTGAATATTTATTACCGGGCTGTGTTTGCTGGCTCTGCTCCTCTCCTATCTTAGCATCTGATCTTTTAATCGTGTGCCGCGTACATCTCACGGAGGTGTAGCT